ATTAAAAGGAACGCAATCACATTGCTGAATTCCCCATAAAATTACCTTTCCGACGATGTGTTATATTTGGTACCTACTTACCCTAATTACATTGTATTGGTTAGATTGATGTAAGGGAGAGAAATTATATATAAGAGTTGATGATATTATAGAAAGGTGTCCCCCTTGAAATAAAAATCGACCTGTTTTTGAGTTCCTTTTAAAAAAATTCTACTTCAAGATATTCTGAGATAAGGCTGGTCGTCACCCTTAATGAATCGTCCTGTATAATGAATAGAAAATACTCTTTTTCGGTAATAATTTAGAAATGTGGTCCTTGATTTAGATATTTTAAAAAGAATAAATTTTGTCAAAATATAGATTAAAGTTATTTAAAAATGCTTCCCATTTTCGAACGCTATTTCAAAATCTATATTATTCTAAAAAAGAAAGTCCTGCTTTTAAAAATTTATAAAATATTGTGCAGGTACCAATAATGAACCAGACTGATATTTATAAAATGACCATATCATAAAACTTTGTTCGCTATTTTGATATCGTTAAAGCGATATTAGGCATTCCAACGACCTGTCAAACAATAGGTGCCAGTGGAAAGTTCTTGTATATCTAAGGGGGTAGCGACATAGCCTTGCAACTTTGACGCTATTTTTATTCGAAATAGTAGTCGCAAAGCCGGCCAATTTATGAAGAAATGTATAAACGGGTTTTCTAAATAATATTTTTTATAGTGTTTGACAAAAATATTTAAATGTAATCCATTATTCATGATTTTACGTATAATAGATAGAATACATTGTATGTCGCAACTCTTAGATATACCAAACCTTCCCACTGGCAATTCATTTGTTTGGAATGCCTCATTGTACACAGGTTTTACAGTAGCTGTCAATCTGTTCCGATGTCAGGTTCTCAACTTTAATATTTCTCTGGAATATGTTCCAGTTTCTGAACCTAAAAATTTACTGTTGTAACATCTTTTATTAGCTTGGTATGTAAGTATGTATGTAACGGAATCTTTGAATGTAATTTTCACCCCTTCAAAACGTCGGATTGATTTGAAACTTATTTTATTGTAGAAAAGCGTTGGGTGCTTTTTAAGATATTTGTCATTAAAATATGATAACAATTGACATCAAGCACCCCACGCTTTTCTACAATAAAAGAAATTTTTTTGTTACTAGAGAGATAATGCAAATTTCTGTAATGTCAGCCACTAATAGTGACAACGTAATAAGAGGCAAATAAATTCCATGCTAAAATAAGACTTATTGCAAACTTGAAATTTTGACATTAGAGTCCTTGTTCTTATAGATATTTCTAACCTCATTTTAAACATTTTAAATTACAGTTCATCTTTTTTGTTGTTTATAAATTATAATATTACATAATATGGAAGAGGCATTGGAAATTACCATTTTAGTAAACCTTGACGATAATTAAATATTTTATATTAAAAAACTTCGAACTGATACGAATGTTGGCGAGCACACCCGAAAACTATAAAGTCGCCATTAACTGATGTCCTTAAACATCCACAATTAATGACAGGCACAATCTTTATTTAAATCAGTTCTAGATTGTAAGTGATCTGCGCATGCTGAGATGTCAAAATAAGAGCGGCACCAATAGTGACTGACCTTAAGTGAACTTGCAATAACTCTCTTATCACACTATTTTTAATTGAAATTTATTAAAAATTATTTTCTACTTTTTAGGTTGCTTTTCTATTAAAGCGTGTTTTTTAGTTTTTTTTTTTCAACTATTAGTTACAAATTAATTTAAAAAATCTTAGTAGGGTTAAATTTTAATTTTTTAAGAGCTATTTTGTTGGAACAAAGTGATAATGTCTGGTGACGACATTGATATGTTTTTAATCTTCAATTTTTTTCTTATAAAATTAAGAAAAACTATAATTAGAAATAATTACAAACAGGAACGAGGCAGAGGCTGAGCTAAGTTCAAACATTCTAAATTGTACTTCTTGATTATACCATAAATTTTAAGAACATCCTGTTTTTTTGTTATAATTATCAATAATTACATAAGTAAAACGTACCTTTACGACCAATTGTGTCTTGTATACAATCACCGTATCAGTTAACATCCAAATATCTAACTGACCTCTAACGTAGCAGAAAAACGTAAATAGGTACCTACCACATAAAATACTCATGGCAAGTTAAAGAAAAAATTATCTGTCCCTCTGATAATTACATATTTATATCATTGATGTCACGTGTCTATATACCAAACATATCAATTGAATGTAGTAAAAATATTATTAAAAAATTATGGCCAAATATAATAAACTTAATATACCGTTATATGAATTTCTTAACGCAATAAATGATACACTTCCACATATTTCACTTTTAATAATATAAATTTTATAAACAGGCAGATGGGTTAGCCATGGGTATACCCACCTCTAGTATTATTGCCCAATTAAATAGTTATGGAAGACATCTTAATTATTAAAATTTAAAACACCATTTGAATATTAACGTTGTGCATTTTTGATTTTTTGGAATAGTTAGGGAATAATTTTGAACGAATTGCTTTTATTATCAATACAAAAGTACTATCATTTATGTGGTAGAATACAATATTTATTGCGCTATCATACACACATTACAATTTATGTTACATTAAATTACATGGTATTACATGTATTCATTAAAGCGTTTTCCAATTTTTTTTTGAAGCAATGCGGATGCGTCATGAAAATAAATAAATAAATTTTCGTACAAGAAGTCTCGTATAAAAAATTTTTGAAATTGAAATTTATTGCACGTTTATTGGCTGTTTTTTTTATTTGGTGTCATCGGCATCGACTGCTAAGGTCATTAGCCTCGTGTTCTATGTAGGCTTTGTTTTATAAAAATAGATTTTTAAAAAATCAATTTTTTTAATTAATTGAAACTCTGTGTCGCCGACTATCACTAATTAAACCAAATCAAGTTTTGTCCGAAAAAAGGACATTTCGCCACTGAGCTAAAAGCTAGTATCTGTGTTCCTGTGCCCACTGTAGACGAGCCGGCCATATGTCCGGGAGGTAACCTGGGCACTCTTAATAGTCTCCTAGATCGCAAATTGGCTCCAGCAAGTCTCGGGCGTATAGTGGTACTGGAAATGAATCGACCATAAATATGTTCTTCTAAAATGAGTTCGGACAGCTGAGACTGTTATGGTTCGATTCCAACGTACATAACCTGCTGCATACCAATCTTTTCTTGCATTACTAATCTTAGGACAGCCCAGTCCCACGTCTCTATTGAACACTGAAATTCTATTGTCAGGCATAATTGCAAAGAAAAACTCAACAAGCACTTAAACATGCTTAATAGATATGAACCACTTTTTAAACATTGGTTTTTAAAATTTTAGGAAATTGTTTTTATAAAAATTTTTAGATGCAATGGTGAAATAAATAAAGATTAAATGTAAAAAAACAGCCATAATAAATATCTCGTTTTAACATTTACGAGGGGGTCCAAAATTTTTGACGATGTGTGTACGATCAGAAACTTATTTAAAGTTATGAATTAGTTTCTAAGTTCAGTCATAGGCCCAGGTCTTGGACCAAACATTTTATTTCGAAACAATATGTATTTTGTACATAAGCCTGAAGGTATTCAATGGCTTTTATATAGTTTTTAACCGACTTCAAAAGAGAATGAGGTTCTCTTCTCTTTATACAGTATGGTTCAAATGAAAGGAATAAATTCATTATAATGGAAGTAGTTGGTTTTTCGAAAAAATGCTTGGACAGGTCAATTTTGTTTACTTAAAGCGCAATTTTTTAAATATAATTCAATTTTCCCCCACTTCCCATTTTTGGGCAGTGACGTCATTGACAATTTTTTTAAATAGTAACCCCAATTTTTTTTTCTTGATTTTGATAGATCTTGCAATTTCCTACTCAGAAACATAATATTTGTAATATCTGACATAACAATTTTTTTTGAATAAAAGTCATTTAAAGATCAGATACATAAATTTTATTTTAGTTTGAAACACAATAAATGAATAAAAGATTATTTGTAATTAAGTGCTTCATCTAAAAAATAATAATAATAATAATAAAAAGAATTTAATGACAATTTTGTTAGATTAGGCACTTAATTAAAAATAATTATCTTTTATTAATTTATTGTGTTCTCAAAATAAAATAAAATTTATGTGTCTGATCTTTAAATGACTTTTATTCAAAAAAAATTGTTATGTAAGATATTTCAAATATTATGTTTCCGAGTAGGAAATTGTAAGATCTAACAAAATCAAGAAAAAAAAATTGGGGTTACTATTTAAAAAAATTGTCAATGACGTCATTGTCCAAAAATGGGAAGTGGGGGAAAATTTAATTTTAATTAAAAAATTGCGCTTTGAGTAAACAAAATTGACCTGTCCGAGCATTTTTTCGAAAAACCAACTACTTCCATTATAATGAATTTATTCCTTTCATTTGAACCATACTGTATATATGTTTAGCGATAATTCTTTAACAAGATGTCCGATTTCAATAATTCTTCTTTTTTGTTGGAAAGGGGGTACTTCAGGGGTGGTCGCATATAAATTTGGTTAAGATGTGATGACATCTGCATGATTTTGAAGTCGGTTTTTTAAAATTACTTTTAATACTTGCCAAATTCTGATGTCTACACAGTGCGGCACAATTAAAAGACAAAAAAGAGTAAAATAGTAGGCTTTTCTACACTCTTCGGTCCTCCTCAGTTCTTTCAGCATTAAGTATTTTTTTGATTTATGTTTATTTTCTTCAATAAACTATTGTTTTCATACAAATATCATTACATCGAATGGCATCTGTCAGTAGTCAAAGACACTACATCATTTCGATACCGATAAGCATTTATGGATAAATATCACTTAATACAAAAAAAAAGTTTGATGGAAGAAATAGTTATTCTTTACCACATATCTAAAAATATCTATAAAATTTGTTTTCAATATGATTAAAGACATTTTTTTTTTGTTTATAGAACAGTGCTTCAAAACAAAACGATATAATAAAAGAGGACAAGAACAAAATCAGCACCAGCAGCGCCTTAACATGCTGTCAACACAATGATTCTTTGACATCTGTTTCGATGGATGATGAAATAAATATGTGTGAAATCAGAAACACTAACTTGAAATCAACACAATTAAATTGTAACAATAACAATACCAAGCAACAGAAAAATATGATGAACGTATTTGCTAAAAAACAAGCCGTTGACATAACGTTTGATGATATCAGTTTTTCTTATTCAACTTGGAAAATCACCAAATTAAAGAAAGGTAAGAACTTTATATATGTATTAATATTTTTTTTAATAGGTGGAAGAATCCTTTATGTACCCTAATAAAATACATGCTGGGTGTAGTCCCGTTGTGGTATTCTTACTCTTCCTCCTCTCCACCATAACAAACTGCTCAGAAACGGCAAGCAGGCATTTTTAAATCATAGATAGTTGATTTAAAACACATTTAGTTGATCTTGCAGCTTTTGCAAGTACTCCATCCAGTTCCACGGCAAAGCTTTTGACCCTGGAATGCCGCTTTGTTGAACTAGATTTTTTCAAACAAACTTTGTAAGTAGTAAAAGTTCGTAAAATTCCAATTATTAGTTATGTTATGAATAGCTATAACTGCAACTCTATTAGATTATCGTCCGATAGAATTTTTGTTTGCGAATGTACCAACTACTTTTGGCGACCCCTTCCCATTGAATTTTACCCAGTCTATCTCTCTTCGAACTATGCGGGTCTTTCCAACACTTGAGTTTGAATTGGGTGCTGTAATCACCTTAATAGCTTTCTATATGACCGGTCAGTAACTGTCGCACTGTGCACGTCAACATTCAGGCTTCCTAACCTATCTTCCAGAGAACTGAATAATTAGGTACCCTACGATGATTACCAACTGATAACATCTTTATTTGCCCATTTAAAATCGTCTAATAGAATTACACATTGTTAAAAATTGTAAAATATTATATCAAGAAGGCAAATATTGGCATTTTTCTCGTGATAAAGCGTAGATAGTTTCCGTGGCTAGTTATTGTATTTTGGTCCTAGTTTTTAATTTAAATTTCAAACTGACACATATATTAAGTTTACTCACAGTCAGTTAGTAATTTGTGGATTTGTAACCTACGAAACAGTCGGGAAACGAGTTATTGCTTACTTCACTTTCCCAACTAGCCGGGAAAGTAACTTGCCCGGCTAACATGTGTCACTTATGTTATTTACTTTTTTCCATGTCATAAGTCATGCCTTAGGTAGCTTTTTCTTCAGTTACTCTTAGTTCCGGTGAGGTTTATTCAAGTTACCTGTCATATTTATAAGTATTCCAAGTATTTTTTTTTCCTGGGCTCGTCTGACTATGTGTCTCCGAATAACACTGAAGCCTATTGGCTTATTGTGTTTTACCCCATGTTAGTTCATAGCACCCACTCTATCACCTTTGTACCTTGTACAAGTTTGTACAGATCCTTGGGTGAGTGGGTTCAATACGTTGTTGGATCAACCTAGAATTTTTCAAAAAGAGCCTGTCTTTTGTGATCTAGAGCTTCGCATTCGCACAGTATGTGTTTCTGGTTTCTTGTGACATAGTCGGCACATGAGTTCCCCATTGTATATGCCAATTTTGTTTAACTTTCCCTTTACTGGGGCATACCCAGTCATGAACCCTGTTATCACTTTCAACTGGTTCCTATTCATTAAGAGTAGTTCTCCAGTTCTTTTGGGACATGGTCTCCATATGAAGGCTTTTCCAGGTGCCTGTTTTGGGGTGCTCCCAAGTATTCAAAGTTACTTTTATTATTAAAAGTGCAATTCAACATGTAACTGGCAAATTGATTATCCAACTATTAGATTTAACTAACTTGTTATATTACCTATCAACAATTTCACAGATATCTTTATTAAATTTTTATATAAAATTAGGATACAAATTAATAACAATATTATTTGAAACCATCGAGATATAATGAAGTAGAGCCGACATAAAAACTATTTTGTGATATGACAGATAGACGCACTTAGCGGTGCTAAGAGTGACGGAAAAGTGTAATCAAAATGGCGACTATGGAGTGTAAAGAAAAGGAGGACAATCTCATATGGTTGTTTATATAAAAAAATATCCTCCAAAATGTATGAAATTAAGATGGCGCTCGTGTACTAGAAGAAGAAGATCCAATGCTATATAGTTATATAGATAGCTCACCCATATATAAATCAGATGACGAAAAGCACTATTATTGTCATCTATTATCAAAATTTCTCTACAATTATAAGCTCAGTTGCTTTTCACGATTTAGTTTTTACTCTATACACAAGAGGTAATATCCGGCGATCTGGGTGGCCATGGTTCCAAAGAAGTATTTCTATCTATTCACTTCATAGGGAAAGTTGAATTTAAAAAGTTTCTAACTATCAGAGAATTATGTGCGGAGGCACCATCTAATTGAAAGAATAAGGTGTGTCTCTGTGCTAAAGACAATTCCATGAGAAAATCATAAAAATAATTTCATGAAAAATATAGAAAATGTTCTCCATTCAGGTTATCCAGGAAAAAAGGTCCAACAATTCATTCGTTAAATATTCCACACCACACGTTAACTTTTTCACTGTATTGGTTTTCACAATTAATTACCCAATTCGGATTTTCGGCTGCCCAAAACCTACAATTTTGACTAGATTGTGCAGAATTTCTAAACAACCCAAATTGTTTAGTATACGGGCAGTTGCGAGGATACTGAAAAACAAAGTATGGAGATGTTTAAAATGTAATAGGAATAGGGCATTTAAACCAAAATTTCTACATTCTCTGTTAAATGGTGATTTTGAATTTTGCTTATGGTTGCAAAGAAACTATCTTAACGACATACTTTTTCTAAAGAACATAATGTTTACTAATGAGGCAACATTTACGACAAACGGTGTGATATCTAGTCAAAATTGTAGGTTTTGGGCAGCCGAAAATCCGAATTGGGTAATTAATTGTGAAAACCAATACAGTGAAAAAGTTAACGTGTGGTGTGGAATATTTAACGAATGAATTGTTGGACCTTTTTTCCTGGATAACCTGAATGGAGAACATTTTCTATATTTTTCATGAAATTATTTTTATGATTTTCTCATGGAATTGTCTTTAGCACAGAGACACACCTTATTCTTTCAATTAGATGGTGCCTCCGCACATAATTCTCTGATAGTTAGAAACTTTTTAAATTCAACTTTCCCTATGAAGTGAATAGATAGAAATACTTCTTTGGAACCATGGCCACCCAGATCGCCGGATATTACCTCTTGTGTATAGAGTAAAAACTAAATCGTGAAAAGCAACTGAGCTTATAATTGTAGAGAAATTTTGATAATAGATGACAATAATAGTGCTTTTCGTCGTCTGATTTATATATGGGTGAGCTATCTATATAACTATATAGCATTGGATCTTCTTCTTCTAGTACACGAGCGCCATCTTAATTTCATACATTTTGGAGGATATTTTTTTATATAAACAACCATATGAGATTGTCCTCCTTTTCTTTACACTCCATAGTCGCCATTTTGATTACACTTTTCCGTCACTCTTAGCACCGCTAAGTGCGTCTATCTGTCATATCACAAAATAGTTTTTATGTCGGCTCTACTTCATTATATCTCGATGGTTTCAAATAATATTGTTATTAATTTGTATCCTAATTTTATATAAAAATTTAATAAAGATATCTGTGAAATTGTTGATAGGTAATATAACAAGTTAGTCGTCGTCGTCTGGATAGTGCATTTGATTTAAATTGTATCCCCTTGGTCTTGTCTTGAAAACCGCTCCAGTCCTTGCGAACAATCTGTTGATTTCAGCAACGGTATTGTGAGCAATTGGTGCTCGATCATGATGCCTTTCATTGAATATTCATTCCATCAGCCTGACGCGTAGATCTTTTATTATTACCAAATAAGCGGAAAATTTCTACTTTTTCTCCAATTGTAAGAACTACTCTTCGGTTTTGTGCCATCTTATTAACAGTTAAGTAATACTGCTTGACTTATTTTCATTTCTTACGAATTAATAAATGTAAAACAAAAACGTTTGGTTCAAAACACTCTTTGATTAACTTGGTCGCGTATCTTAACAAAATTTCAAAAACACAAATGATAGTATAACAGCATTTGCGATGATACTGAATTTAATAAAAAACGATTTAGAAGGTGTTTAAAAGGCAATTAGGGTATTTAAACTAAAAAATTAAAAATAATCAACCTATTAGAAAAAGCGACTTAAAATAAATTAATTTGTTTTCTGCTAAAATTAGCTCTTGAGATTTTAAAAATATGAATTAAAGGGTTCTTTGGGATGCCGATTCTAAATATGATAAAAAAAAATATCCTCAATAAGTCAATAAGCCCTAATATCCTTTTCCCAAAAAATAAAGCCTTTTTCACCCCCTAACACCGAACGTCAATGGTAAATAAAAATTTTTACTATGCCAAATACTTCATTTTTCTAACATACAATCACCACCAAAATTTAAAGAAAATCGCATTATATATAACTGAGATATTAGGGTGCACTCATGAAAAGCGAGACAGACTGTATACATACATTATTGGTGTGATTTTGTGACCTGAACTATCGACTGTCGGTGTCCCTCTTGGTGTGTCGATTCTCGAATGGTGTGATCTATCATTTCAAGAGAAGAAATTACTTTTTTAGTGGAACAGTCATTTAGAGTATTTAGAGCCATTCTTGAAATTATTACTTCTCTTAAAAATCAAGCAAATATTGGTCGCTTGGTTTAAGAGCAAACATGACGGGCGCTCCTCCGCCAAAAATTAATTTTACATTTGAGGCAGTTAAAAAAAATTGTAAAAAAAATGGTTCAGGCCAATCGTTCTAAAAATGAACCAAGAATGACGCTAAATCGCGAAAAACAACAAAAATTTTAACTTTTTAACAAATTTAATTTTTTGGCTCTTTAGCGTCATTCTATAACAAATATCTTAACAATTTTCTAAATAACTTTTTTTTTAAAAGATTACCAATTTTAAACAGGACCAAAGATTAACATAGTTTTCATTCCGATACTAATTGATAAAATGAATATGGCAACGCTGCTAGTCTATGAAGCCCGTGGTTAAAAGGGTAGCTGCTGTTTAGTTAAATTTGTTAATTCCTGTGTCGAAAAATAGTTGTTTTTGAAGAGGTGCGAAATTATTGTGATCGTCTTAGTTTGTTGTTGAGGCGTTGTTAGGTTTTTGTTTAATTTAGTTTTTAGTTAATTTATGAAATGA